AGACCTTTAATGGTGTTGTCATTCAATTCACCAAAACCCACAAAAGGGCTAGATGCACTTACACGTGGGCAAGAGGGCATGGTGACGGTGCGCCATCCGCTTTTTTGGGCGATGATAGAGGACATGGAGAGGAGGAAGCGCAGACGGATCTTCGACGTTCGAGCGGCCCTTCAGCGTGTCGGCGACCGTGAGGTGCGCTCGAGGCAGAGCTCCGGTGTGTTGGCATCAAAAGCCAGGCAGGACATCCGCGGGCTGCGTGACGAGGTCTGCCACCTCGAGCTCTAAGAAGGGCGTGTGCGAGCGCTAGGTGCACGGCATCCGCATCTTCGAAGGCAGCGTGGCAGCTAGTGACTGATGCTAGGAGGTGGGCCTTGGCTCCTCGTGCAAGCACTAGATCCGATGGGTCAGTCTCTAGACCCTGCTGCGCTGCCTTGGGCATCATCTTGAGCGTGAAGTCCAGCGGGTCGGCCTCTAGCCCCCATAGCCTCAGCCATGGCACCGCTCATGGTCATGCTCCTCTGCTTCTTTGCCTGGTCGGGGTATATTGCCTCGCTCTTTTTGGTTTGGCGCTGGCCAGCCTTGCTGGAGGTGATGGCCAACTAGTGCACCTTCAACGAGGTGCCGGTCGGGGCCTCCATGCCATAGAGGGGCATGCTAGCTATGCCAAGGCGCACCTAACTCAGCAGCAATAGATAGGGCATCCGCCGGCACCAACAGTCATGCCCCCTACTGCTCTGTGCAAGCTGTTAAGGGTTCCGACGATGGGGCATGGTATGGCAATGCCCTTGGAGCAGCTGTTGTCGGCGTGCCTTGGGTCGTCGTGCCTTGGGCTCATCCTCTTGGCTCTAAGATGGTGGGCTACAGTTCATGGGTTTGGGGGAGCAAAGGCAAAAGCCGTGTAATTCGGTTGTGCGATCGATGGCGACGCCATCCGGCATCTTTCGCCTCCTTGGAGGCGGCGATGTTGCCTCCCCACCCCTTAACTGTAGTAATTCCCCTCTCCTCGTGGTGAAAACCTAGCACTGGTTATCTGGAGCCAGTGGTGGCCATCTCAGACCTTCTAGCTTTCCTTCCTACAAGGTCCCCTTACACTCCCTATACTATCGCATAGGCTACTTGCTGGATGGTGTCCACTATCGATGTCCTGCCGCCGCTTGTCGGGCTCTGGAGTCCGACACCCTCATGGGGCGTGGCTAGCTAGCTGGCCTAGGGGGCCAGGCCATCGCCGTCGGCGGCAATGGGGCTAGGCCTGCCGAAGCTTGTGCGCCCCCTCGTCTGTGTTCCTAGCGGTCGGGTGGACTCCACGGCCGTTGGCGTCGAATAAGGATCTGGTCATGTGCCTGAGCTCCACTCGCATTGGAGGATGTAGTTTTTGGGTCGTAGGTTTTTCTTAATCGCCTCCTTCAGATGAATGGAGTTTCTGAGTGCAAGCTCGGCCAGGTTTTGGTCAGGTGGACGATGGTGACACCCTAGGTGCCACATACCTCCTTGGAGGCATCGTTGAAGAAACCCATGCTTCGGCGTCGATGGGGCCGGATTCTAGCGGTAAGCCCCGTCTTAGAAACCTCTATGGCTAGCAGCGGTGGCGTCCACAGTGCTACCTTTGGGTGTCATCCACCTTCGTGAAGGCATCCATGAAGAATCACCTACAACTCATCGGCGGTGGCTCGTGGTGGAGTTCCTCACTGTACCCATATGTGCCTATGTTTTTCTCACAATGGCCTATCCTGCAGCTCTTGACATTGCTATCATCGCTTGGCTTTCGTAGCGGATGCTTTACCGCTATTGCTCTTTGTCATCATTGTCATTTGCCTCCTCTTTGGCGGATGCTTTACTACCGAGAGTATCATGGCCGGTCCCCCCTGTGGACGCTCCGCCACACTGGGCATTTTCGCTTCTTCCCTGCTAGATGCTTGGCCGCTGATGGAATCCTTGGCGGATGCTTTGCCGCTGTTGGATCTTCATTCCCCTCTCTGGTAGATGCTTTCCTGCCATGAGCGTGCTGGCCCTCTCTTGGCGGATACTTAGACGTCGTGGTTGTTTGGTCTTCACTAGTGAATGCTTTTGTTGCCGGATGCTCATCTGTTTTCTCTCTGGGTAGACATTTTGCCACCACTGCATTGTCTTTTTTGTAGACCACTATTTCGTTGATGTATCCTTTTCTTGCAGGCTCAGTTGGGAGGTTGTAGGGGTTGAGGGCAGTCGCTCTCTTTCTTTACTTCCCTTTCTTGTTCTTACGTTTTATTACAGGTCACTCACGACTACCTTGGTGGTTTGTAATATGTGCTATGAGGGTTCTCTCTTAGCTATGTCGTATATGTAGACAACTTCAAACACTACATATGATGGCAGCCTATGTCATTTCAATTAGTTGGCTTTTTATACATTTAAATAGTTGTTTAGCCCATTTAAATGGCATTTAGCATAAATAAATAGCTAAATGATATATGGTGGAGTGTTTAGCTTGTTGGAGTGTTTAGCTTGTTGGGGACGTTGTTTTTAACACACGGTGCACATGCCAACAGTCACATATACGCGCCCTTATTAAGGCACACACAGTCTATCTTAGGGAAAGCTTACGAGAGACTAAATGATCGATATGTTTTTGGGCCAAAATATCTCAAGATTGACCAGGTTACCCTCAAAGAGATTAGGCTACTAGCCTACTAGATTAACGAAATAACTACATACTGCCTGGCAAAAGGTATTAACCCAATAATAACACCCCAGTAAATAGGTTCACCCTGTGGAACATATAACAAACTAACATATGCTAGCTCACTTTCAAAAGACTCCCTACATTTAATTTTTACAAAGCAGCATTATTATGATTTTATAAAACCTTTCAAGTTAGGTTTTGATCTTGATCATTAGTTTTTTTAGAATACGTTATCAATTACTACAAAACCAAATTCTTACTACAATACATATACATGAAATAGGAAATCTACTGATGCATCTTTTAGTTACTAAACATACATATGTTTTGAGTAATTTATGGTCAAAGTTTACAATATTTGTTTTTTATAATATATGTAATCCTAATACAGGACCTTTGTTTTGAAATGGAGGCACTACCGGATACAGGGGCACTCGGCAAAGCCCCAAAAACACTCGGCAAAGTGTTTGCAAACGACACTCGATGTCAATCGACAAAGAGCTGTTTGCAAATCGTCGTTTGCCAAGTGCTTTGCCAAAAAACCCAAAAAAAATATTTTTCCAAAAAAATAAAAATAAAAAACAGCAAGGTCAGAGACGCCGGATCCACTGCACCCACGCTGGAGACGTCAGATCCGTTGCATCCACGTCGGAGCAGCTGGAGCCTGACGGGAGGCCGCGCCACCGAGATTCAACGGGAGGCCGCGCCACCGAGCCCGGATCTAGTGCCGAGAGGGGAGGAGAGGGGGCACCACCGGGATGGGGAGGGGAGGCCACGCCATCGAGCTGCCGGAGCCCGACGGGAGGCCATGCCTTTGAGATCCGACGGGAGGCCCGCCACCGAGCCCCGCCACCGCGCCACCGAGATTCAATGGGAGGCCGCGCCACCGAGCCCGGATCTGGCGCCAAGAGGGGAGGAGAGGGGGCACCACCAGGATGGGGAGGGGAGGCCGCGCCACCGAGCCCGGATCTGGCGCCAAGAGGGGAGGAGAGGTGCACCACCGAGATGGGGAGGGAGGCCACCATCGAGCCCGGATCTGGCACCGGGGAGGCCGTGCCTCCCGGATTCGGGACGGGAGGCCACGCCCGAGCCCGGATGGGCAGGGGGGGCCGTGCCACCGAGCATCGAGGATGGGAGGGGCCTGGCGGGAGGGAGGGGTGGCGAGGCCACCGGATCTAGCTTTGGGAGGGAGGCCATGCCACGAGGTCGGATCTAGCACTGGGAGGGGAGGGGAGGGGGCACCGCCGGCACGGGGAGTGAAGGGGGTGCCACCGGCATGGGGAGGGGAGAGCAGCGGGGAGGGGAGGAGAGAGCAGCGGGAGAGGAGGGGAGAGGGGTGTTGGGAGCGGAGAGAAGTGGGGTGGGGAGGGGAGAGCAGCGGGGAATTAAGTAGGATTTTTTTTTGCTTTGCCGAGTGTCCTAGATCTGGGCACCCGACAAAGTTTTTTTTTTTTTTCTTCTCCTTCTTTCCCAGAAAAAAGATTTTTATTTCTTTTCCGAGTGCAAAAAAGAAAACACTCGGCAAATTCCTCTTTGCCGAGTGTTTTTTTTACACTCGGTAAACCCTCTCTTTGCCGAGTGTTTTTTTTGCCAAGTGTTTTTAGCGCAACACTCGGCAAAAAACATGTTCGCGGAGTGACCGAGGGAATACACTCGGCAAACATAAAAACAATCGCCAAATTTGACGTTTCCTGTAGCGAGGGAGTAGCATTTAACATGCATAAGAGGATCACAGTAGCATGCATGTTAACGAAATTATATAAAATTACGCTCATGGTTATGATCTGTGTATATTAATTTGACTAAACTTTTTTTCTGAAAGATTGACTAAACATTTTTCCAAACATCCGTTGTGAAATATGTTTTGTACAAAGTACCAAAACCAACATAAATTCATGCAAAACTAAAGATTTAGTTTGGATCCAGACATCCATTGCAGACATCATATTATATTTAGAGGTAGAACCTCAGAACACTTCTGTCTTTAATGTCCAAAACACGCATCATCTAATTTAATTTCTTGACTCTTTACACTAACTTAGGCTGTGTTTAGTTCGCGAAATTTGGTTACTGTAGCACTTTCATTTTTATTTGACAATTAGTGTTCAATCATGGATTAATTAAGCTCAAAACGTTCGTCTCACGATTTCCAACCAAACTGTGTAATTAGTTTTTTTTCCAAACTGTGCAATTAGTTTTTTTTTTGTCTATATTTAATGCTCCATGCACGTATCGTAAAAGATTCGATGTGATGGCTACTGTAGCATTTTTTGGAAAAAAATTTGGAACTAAACACAGCCTTAACTGCATGCATTAACCATAGCGTACGGTCCGCATCTGCTCAAGTGGAGGCATTCACGTTATTATTTCTGCTGTGGCCGCCGCAGCCGAAGCCGCAGTTGCAGTTAACTTTGTCGGCCGCCTGCACGTTCGTAGCACCAGCAGCCACCGCCGCCGCCGCCGCCGCCGCCGCAGCCGGCAGAGCGGTGAGTGGAGCTCCGAAGCAAGATAAGCTGCCGCGGTGTGTCGACTGCATCAGGGCGTCGCTGCCGCCGGCGGAGACTGCGTGGCCGATGACGTAGTCGCCGACCGCAGGCTGGCGCGGTGGGCCCGGGTACGTCGCTGGGTAGCTCATCGGGTGCAGTGTGGATGGTGGCGCCGTGTAGAGGTAATGGTACGAAGGCTGCGGCGACAGCCGGAACGGGAGGCACGGGTCGCCGATGCTGCTGCCACCGGTGGCGCTGGCGCCTCCCCGGAAGTTTCCTCCCAGTACGGTCGGTGAGGCAGCGCCAGCCAATCTCACATCCCGGAAACTGTACCCACAGAATTGCAATGGGTGTGAGCACTGAGAAACCCTAATCAAAGAGAAGGCGCGATCGTGATCTTCTGCAGTAGAGCGAGTATATGCCTTACCTCATCTGCGCGCCGATGGCGGCGAGGCTCTCGTTGCCGAAGACGAGTTGCCGGGCACGGCTGAGGGTTTCAGTCTCCCTCTCTGGAAGAGGAAGCCCAGAAATCAATAATGACCCATAAAAATATGGAAGGAAATGAAAGCATTGTGTAATTAGCTAGGGCTATAGTGGTGCATGATCTTGCCTTGTCGATGGCGGTTCATATGGCCGCCAAGCGCTTGAGACTTGCCGAACTTGAGGGAGCAAAACCGGCACTCATACACCTTTGCAGCAGCATCCTTCCCTCCACGGCTCTTCTTCTTTATCCCTGCACACACATACTACATCGATCAGTCCCTTATGCGCTACAAAGTGTAGAGAGATCTTCCCCTTTGTAAAAATTGAGAGATTTATATATATTTGTAGTACGCAAAGTGAGTAGAATCTTTTATTCTTCACATTCAAGATCATTCATGAGGAATCATTCGCATCAACAGACCTAGCATATAAGTTCTGCAAACTAGCTAGCCGGGAATGTTCAAAGTACAGAACTTTAAGAAAGCTAGAACTCCATTGCTGTTCAATTGCAGGTCTTTCTTTCATGACGCAACTAGAACTACTTCACCTTCAAATCAAACAAGAGAATATTAGTGTTGTAGTTCCTTACTAGTAACTGCATCGGCGCTTGATGTGGCGGTGGTCGTGGAGCTCTCTACCGCTTGCTTGCCGTACTCCTCCGGCAAGTTGTTCAGGTCCAATGGGCTCCCTTCAGGTCCAGGCCTGGAGTTCATAGGCCATGGTGACGAACACACAAAAGAAATTAAATTCTTGCCCGCGAATCGAAGAACAGTTTATATATGTATATAGATCGAATCACAAAGTTAAAAGCAGATCCTATATACACAAGCATGAGCATAGGATCTCAGATATGATGAGCAAGATGTGCAACTACTACAATCGAAGCAGCGAGGAAAAAAATGAAGTAGCAATTGTGCATAGTACAAGAACGATCTAAGTCATCTAGACAAACAAGCTGTTCACGAAGATCCAGATTCCTGCCTTTTGATAGCACAAGCTGATTAAGAGCTCAGACGCTCAGCACTACACATGTACTAGCAAACAAAGAACATCCAGGAGCAATGGTTGATGAACAGGAAAAAGAAGAGAACACAACAGATGTGCACACATAAACAGGAAACGCACAGAGAGAGAGAGAGAATAGTAGTGGCTCAGAAGAAGAGATGGATATGAACAATGCAAGCACACCACCAGAAAAGTGACGAGGGGTAGTTGTGGTTCTTACATGGTGGAGCAGAGAGAGCAGGCCAGCAGGGAGTGAGACAGCTGAACACTATGAGATGCAATGGAGCTTTGGAAGGAGATAGATCGAGGAAAAACAGAAGTGGCCGGACGGGGGTATATATCGGATGGTACTGGTAGCTAGAGAGAGAGAGAGAGAGAGCGTGAGTTGCCGCTGGTACTGGTAGCATGGAGGATGTGATGTGAGTACTGATCGAGTAGAGTATTACACGGTTTACTAGTGCAGTTTGATGGCACAAAAGCAAAAAGACAGCGCAGTTTGGTAGCAGCAAATGCATATGGGAAAGGCTGTGATCTTTATTAAAGTGTTGGTTTGGGGCTTATAGGTAGAGACGTACTCCTACTTGAGGGAGAGAGTACTCCAGTAGAGCTACAGTCTGTTCGTTTGACTGAACTTATTCGTTGTTGGTTTATAAAGAAGTATGGTTGATTGATTTAATGTAAGAAAAAAATACTGTTCTAACCGGAAATTTACGATCGTTTCTAACAACCACCGAAAATTTACGATCGTTTCTAACCAGAACCAACCGAACAGGCTTACGTGCGGGAGAGAGGAAAGCCTGAAAGTTCTCTATCAGTTCGCCTGTGCTCTCTGCACACAGCCGTCCCTTTCTCTCTCCTCTCCTAATGGCACACATTCACACACGCACACACCTATAGTCTGCTGCCTCCCCGATCCCTCTCCTCACAGCCCCTCTACCCCTCTCAAGATGTTGCCCAGCTGCTGTGCTGAAAGCAGCTACTACTAGCAAATGTGATCCTTGGATTCCAATCCAAATGAAGCTGTGTGTTGTCACTGCTGTATGCCTTGTATCTAGCCCTTTTCTCTGTTCTCCCTCCTCCTCCGGCCAGGTGCCCAGGAAGAGAGCGAGCGAGATCGAGAGTGTCGAGTGTGTCTACAACTCTACATGTCTCGCCATGTTTGTGAGACACTGAGACCGTAGCGTCCACACAGCATCTAGTCTACTACGCAGGAAAGCCCCACAACAACAGCACTACACTCTTAACGCTGCGCTGTCTATTTGCAACCAGCAACAGATGTGTTGAGAGGCCTCTCTTCTCCTGCTGCATGGATCATTACATTAAATGGAGTAAGCTAGGGCTGTTCACACAATAGATCTTGCGAGCGCGAAGAAAACACAAACATCAGACATGCACACATGCACACACACACAAACATCTGTACATGCATGCATGTATAGGTAATAGACCTGTGTCCTTCGTTTGCTTCGCTCTCCCTCATCCTTGTGCTGGTGTAGGACATGCATGCAGCTCAGCTCAGCTCAGCTGAGAGGCAGAGAGAGAGAGATAGAGATAGCAATAAAGACAAGGGCACCTCTTACAAAGCCCTGCTCCAGTATTGATCAGGCTAATGCCTAGGGCTGCATGCATGCTTTCTTAGCCTTTGAGCTGGGCTATCCTATTCCTACATGGTAGTAGATCGGTAGCCAGCAAGTGCTGGTGTCAAGTACTACTGGGAGTTTAGCACTTTAGGGATGAGGACAGGAGAGAGAAGTTATAGTGGACTGTGGGGAAAAAGTGACATTCCCACAATTTAGGTTTTCTGCTGCGGGTAATCAGCTGTTGACGTGCTCCTATATGACTTATAAACCGTGACTTATCAGTTAATGAATAATATTTTTTCTCACACTAAACCAGCTAATAGTATTTTTAGCTATGGCTTATAAGTCAAACTAGCCCAAACGAATAGGACGAATATTTTTTTTTGTTATATAATAAATGCTTTTATTTGCTATGGGTAATACTTTTTTGTTATATATACATTACTAGTGAATAAATGCTTTTATTTGTATATAAGGAAAACACGAGACATACATCCAATACGCGGTTGGCATGGCTTTGTCCGCCTTCTGACTCCTTGTTATCGTGCACGAAGAAGCAGCTGAAAAAAAAATGGTCTCAACGACTTTTATTTCATTTTAAGGAGATAAAAGTAGCTCGCTGCTATAGCTGAGTTACATTGTTCGGAGAAGCCAGAGCTCCACTGTACCAAACAAGCCTGGGACATGAGAGGATGAATAATATGACCTCCAGCAGCTGAAAAAAAATGGTCTCGACGACTTTTATTTCATTTTAAGGAGATAAAAGTAGCTCGCTGCTATAGCTGAGTTACATTGTTCGGAGAAGCCAGAGCTAGAGCCGGAGGCAGCCAGAGCTCCACTGTACCAAACAAGCCTGGGACATGAGAGGATGAATAATATGACCTCCAGTATATATATACTACCTTCGTCTCCAAAAGAATATAATTCTAGCACATTGTTACGTTTTAGTACCTTCAATTTGATTAATTATAGATAAAAAAGTACTCATGTTTATGATATAAAATAAATACCATTAAATTAATTACAGAATGTATTTTCATAATAAATTAATTTAAAGACATAACTATGAATATTATTCACTAAGAACTTAGTTAAGCATGAACCACTTTTCGTGGCATGCAATCCATAGTTACGTTCTTTTATGTAACACTTGAAATACACTACGAGTTTTAGGGTCTGTTCGCTCGTTGGTTTCAGCCAGGACTTATCAGTCAGTCAATAATATTTTTCTCTCACAACAAACCAGCATTAACCGGGCTTATGAGGCCAGAAACCTACCGGCCAACCGGCCGTTAATTTCCAGCGTTCTTTCTCCCCCTCTCTCTCTCCTCTCTGGATTTAGCAATGGACATACTCCGTACAAGTAAAGGTCAGTGACTCTAGCTTGGCCTGGCCATGTAAGCCCAGACAATGAGACAACGGAGGAGGCTGGTGCCTTGATAGGATGCACGGGGTGGTGCATGTAGGAGCGCCATCAAGGAAGAAGAAAAGATGGAGAGAGATGGAGACAGGCTTGTGACCCCTAAGTACATGCATGCTGCGGCATTGTGACAGTTAATTTACTGCGGGTCAAGTCAGGGAGCTGCAATACTGCACATGAGCAGCGTATCAGGCGGCTGCTTCAGCTTCCTCGTGATTTGCTTCCCGTCTTGACTTTGATCTAACCGTCAGAGTGTGTAAAAGAAACTAGCGGTTTCTCACTTTTACAGTTGCTGCTGGCCTGCTGCCTTTGAATTAAAAGATCCTTTTGCACGGTAGCACCTACTAGTTCTTCTAGTATCTATATAGGTTCATCCCAAGTCAAATTTTGGGCCCCTTTGGTAGGGATTCTACACCAGCTCCAGGAGCTGTTTTTTTTTTCCCGCTGCCAAAGGGGTACAGACCGGGGTGCTCCACGAAGAATCCCCGTATTTTGCGCTCTCACAGACGAGTGAGGTCCTTCGGAGCAAAAAAAAAAAACGAGCTTCCACCGGCTCCTATGTTAGACTCAACAGACATGGTACCCCTTTGCCCCTAAAGTTCTCAAGAAATTACAGCAATCCGCCGTCGTCTCCCCACCAAGCCTTATCTCTTTCTGCATCACGGACTGAAGGCCGCACGGACTGGAGGTGAGCTCCATCCGCCTCCTCCATGGACGCACTGCAGCACGAGAGGCAAGATGGCAATGGGGTTCTAGAGACCGACAGATCCGGTGGCGGTGAAGATGGATCCATGGGTGCGGCGGGCTCGGGAGGAGCAACGGCCGGAGGCTTCTCCGCTCTCCTCGCGGGTGCTGCAGGCGGCGCCGTGGGCACCGGCCTCGTCGGCTGGCCTCCGGGCGTGACCCTGGGCGGCGTCCGAGGAGGTGGCGCGTGGGCTGGCGCACAGCCTGTGTAACACCTCGGTGTTAAGCATGCACTAACATTCCATCCCATGAACATAATCATCATCACCTCATGCATAAGCATCATTCACGCATTCCATTTCGAAAGAAATGAAGTATCATTTCATGTGATGCTTAAGTTGATTGAAAATTTATTCATGTTTCAAACGATGTGAAATGCCATGCTCATATTTGGATGCCATGGTTCTTGTTTTGATCACTAAGATAGCTTATAAATGTTTAGGATACAAATTGGAGCCAAGTTCATATTCAAAGTTTTGCCAAATTTTGCTTTTAAACAATTCTTCAAAATTAGGGTTTTGAATTAAATTAATATTGATGTTTATTTTGTAATTCAAAATCTATTTGGAATTGGACTGTGGTCATAAAAGCAAAGTTGTAGATCTTGAAAAATGGAACAACTTTCATTTTTACACCAACTTTTAAAACTACTTTGAAATTGCTCAAAATTTTGCATTGAAGGAAATGGGGATAGAAAATAAATTAAAAAACACATTTCACTTGAATGGGCATGACCTCACTTTCACACTTTCTTATTTATAGCGCCAGCCCGCCAAGCCGTCGAGCTGCACGCCCTTGGCACCATCTTGCCCAGCCATGCCATGTGGCAGCCCCGCTTGCCTGTCCAGCAGCGCCCTCTGTCGCGCCTTCACCTTCCGCTTTGCACAGCTGCGCCACGCCACCACGCGACCACCGAGCCCGCTACATCTTCGCCACGCTCGCCTCGCTCGCGTGCTCATCACAG